AAAGAGCTTAAATATATCCATCAACAATTTCTTGTATAAGCTTCATAATTTTGGTGTGGACATTAATATATGGTCCACCTTAAACAAACTTTTTGTTGTATGGAATAAGGTATTAGTGTCCAACATTTTTCTATATGAATGCTTACTTTGACACCATTTTATGGAATTTTTTTTAAAAACATGATCTGATTATACATTTTGCATCTCTTTGTCAATCTCTCTTCCATTTCATTAAACCTATTTGTCCTTATGCCAATTTAAATTGTGTTGATTAATGTGCCTTATTCTGTCTTAAAATAATTAAATCCTCCAAATTTGACCTTGGCAAAATTATTTTAGATAATCTGAGTACTTATTATTTTCCTATATAATTTAGAAACCTCTTGTCTGGTTCCACCAAAAATAAATTATAACAATTTTAATGGGATAAACATATTTAACTCAAATATCTCCTTGAGAGATATTTCACATCCTGGCAATATTGTGCCTTATCCTTTATTAATCAATTTTCCCACTTATTTAGGTATTAATTTATTTTCAGCAAAGATTTTGAAGTTTTCTGTGTATTGGTGTTCCAGATCAGAAAGACAGATTAGTTTTCAGGAAGTTTATTGCAGACTGTTTTCTTGGGGGAAAAAAAATCTACTTGTGGTACAAGTGATAGAAGTAGGATTAATTAGAAGTTGGATTAACCTTCAATTTATAGCAAAGTTTATCAGTTCAACTGATAGGGACTTTAAAATCTGAGAAAGCCCTTTAAAGTCTTGAATTAAAGCAAAATGACTGAGCTTTTATGCCCCTGTATGAATCAACTGTTGGTTGCGTGTTGCACTGGGAAGGGGTATAGCCTTAGGTGGAATGGATCTCTTTACCTGAGGATAATTGGCAAAGAGAGCTCTTATCTGACAGCTTTCTGACAGCACCACTTCCAGAAGATAGGAAGATAATTCCTTCAGTGAGAAAGAGCTGGGGTGCTGGGTTCCTGGGCTACTATGGATTGTATCTACTCTATTTCATTCTTTGTGCCACTTGGATCCACTTACTTCACAGATTCCTGAAAAAAGATTCATGAGGATGCTGATGGCCCTCCTTAACTTCAATAAGCCACTCTGGATGTCAGTTAGTCAGCCTCTGTGTGGGGGTGCATGCATTTGTCAAGTAGATTCTATTGCCATACTTCTTGCTATAAAACAAGTCCTTTTGTTTCATGCAAAGTCTGTGCTTGCAGACCTGATATTGTAAGCACTTAGATATTCATGGTAGCTGATGGGGAAACAAAAAAGGCTACCTATAAAATAAATGTCAGTTGCAACTCTCATTTCATTATTCAAGGTGCACTAGTATCCCTAGCAGAAAGGATGGCGTCTAATGTGTTTAAATTTTTACCAAGTGGCTCTTGGATCATTTCATAGAATGGTAGCATACTCTGGGTTGAACATTGCTTTCTGCTTTTGGTAAATTGGACAATATATGTGTATTCAGCCTATTTTCATTTGCATTAATGTCATCATCATTATGATTGGATTTATGTCTTCCATCTTATTATTTGCTTTCCATAGTACATTTGTTCTTTATTTCTTTTTTTCATTCTCATTAAATAAATTGCCTTGGGTGGGATTATTTAAGTATCATTTCAATCTACTCTCTTATATTATCTAATTAAATATACCTCTTTCACTTTTAATTTTTCTGAGGCTGATAAGATTCATCGTTATTTTATCACTATCTATCTCAAAGTAATTTTCTGCTACTTCTTATATAAGAATCTAATGACAATATACTTCTTATTCTACTCTTCCCTTTTTGTGGTACTGTATCATACCATTTATTTCAAAATGTGTTATAAACCCCCAAATCTATTGTTATGTCTATTTGCTTTCAAGAGTAAATTATTTTTCAACTAAGAAATGTTAAAATTTTATACTTAATCATATAATAATTATTTCTACTCTTTTTAAAAATTATTTATTTTTTTAGTTATAGGTAGACACAATATCTTTATTTTATTTTTTTTTGTTGTTGTTGTTGTTGTTTTTGTTGTTTGTTTTCCTCAGGTCACTTTATTTTTTTTAAATTTTTTATATTTTTATTGGTTGTTCACAACATTACAAGGCTCTTGACATATCATATTTCATACATTAGATTGAAGTGGGTTATGAACTCCCAATTTTACCCCAAATGCAGATTGCAGAATCATGTCGGTTAC